AATGGGAAGAAGGTTTAGGGGGAAAACAAGGCTCGGAAAGTTTGAGAGCCATTGCTGTATGCTAGGAGCTGACTCCGTCATCGCTTCTCTGGCTTTGTCTGGCAGCAGGAGGCACGCCCGCTGCGTATCCTTGGGACAAGCAAGCCAGAGAAACCCCCTCATCCCTCCTCGGTATCACCACAGAGAAATTCTGTGCCCACCTGGCTAACTGCAAGCTTCCCAAGGAGAAAAGTTTTCATCAGCTCTGCCCGAAATTGCACTTCAAAGCGGTCCTTTGTTACAGAACGGCTGGGCACCCTGCCCGTCTCAGTCACCAGATAGGAATCCTCCCCCACCCCACACCACAGAGGAGCGGTACCTGGCTGCCTGCAGCAGCTTGTCCAGCGTTGGCACTCCCGGAGGCCCCAGTGCCGCGGAGAAGCGCAGGCCGCAGCGATGCACGGCTCCCACAGCGTCTGCCGCGCTGCCCTCCGGTTCTAGCAGAAGTGCAGGCACCAGGCGCTCGGCAGCCAACCACACTGCAGCAGGGGGAGGGGAGGAGATGCAGCCAGGCTTCAGAAACAGGACAGTCAGACGCTCTCCTGGGAGCGCAGAAAGTGCCACGCACACCAAGCCCAGGGCTCCCTCCTCGGGGACCAACGGGAGCACCAAGGAGCAGAGCAGAGCCCCCAAGCTGCTGCCACCGCACACTGCCAAAGGGGGTCTACCCACCATCGGGCTCCTGCTCAGACGGCCAAAGTCACCCCTGCCCTACACCCAGCTAGATCTGCTCCATCCTACGCTCGAGCTTGTGGCAAAAGGTTTTACGTCCTGTTTGGTATCACCCTCACCTACGTCCCCACTGCTGACCCCATCCCAGGCCCTAAAGCCAAGCAGGTGGAGCTGCAGAGAACCCTCCAGCTATGCGATTGCTATTGCTGTGCCCACAGAAATGGCCAGACACAGGACAAGATCGCTGGGAGTCCTACCGTGTCAGCACTGCGCAGTGCAGAGCTGGGCCAGGCACCGCCTGGAAGCATTTGTTTGATCTCTAGACGCTTTACGCAGAGAGAGGACAAACGCCACAGCATCACACCCAACATAGCCAGTGGATCGTTGCTACAACCGTCCCGTCCACGGTAACACACAACCTTCACAGTGCTCTCTACAGTGTTTCGTGAGCCTCTGGAGGCGTGCTGTCCCCAACTGCCTACATCTGCCCAAGCCAGCGCTTCATCGGGATTCCTGTCTCTCCCCACAGCTTCCCCCAGAGGGGAAAGGGCTTCAGGCGTCCCAGGAGGGAGCCCAGCCACGTTGACACGCAGGGTCTCTCTGGCCTCATCTCACAACACACACTTCTTCTCTAAAGCATCTTACCGTTCTCCCTTCCCTAGTTCTGGAGGGCAAACCTGGCTGGCTACGGGGTACACACGGCTACAGCACGGTTAAAAAAAAAAATTCATGCGAGTTACATAGCAGGAGTGCAAACACGTATTATTTATCTTACACTGAAAGCCATTCCTGGCAGTGAACACAAAGCCTAATTATAGAGCAGTGAATCCCGCAGCCTGTGCGCACAGCGCTCTGGAAACAGCCATGACCGGGACTTCAGGCTGCCCTACCGTTGTCATAAACAGCCGCCTCCCTCGGGGGCTCCCGGCCTCTGCCAGCCGTCCCTGCGCGGCAGGCAAGAGCACAGGCAGCAAGGCAGCTGGCCCTGCCTGCAGGGAGGCCGGGAGCACCGGGGCCCGGGGACCCGGTGCTGCCCGAGGAGGGCGGGA